GGGCACAAAGTGGGAACTGAGAAGCTGTTTGACAGGGGATATTTTAAAACTATTTTTGTAATGGTTGAGCAGTTGCAGCCAATATAGAGGCAGCTGCCATAGTTAGTATTTTCTGTCTCAAATTACAAGTAGTTAGAGTTGTGCCAAGAACTGGTCAATTCCTATTGCCAAAGCAGTACAGAGAAGAAAAATCAGATTTGAATTATGCTGTTGTATATGCACATGCAAGTGGCTGCTTGTACAAAAATCCATGACAAATATTACACCTACAAAGAGCGTTCAATAGGGTACGCACATGGGCTGATAATTAGCCATTGAAGTTTGATACAGATAAATGCAAGGTATTACATGTAGGAAGTAAGAATAGGAAATACAAGTACTTCAGGGATGGACTGAACTTGCCAAAGAACTGAAAGAGATCTAAGGGTGATTCATTGCACACAATGTCAAAACTTGTGAGACAGCAATAAACAAGACAAACAGGATGCTGGGCTCGATTGATAAATTAGTTGAATTTAGATTCCTACACATCGCACTCAGGTAGTATTGTGCTCTGGTGAAGTCACACCTAGAGTTCACTGTATACAGTTCTGGTCACGACATCATAAGTGGTTTCCCAGGCCCTAAAAGAAACATAGACGAGAGCAACGTGATAATAATAATCGTTGCATTTGATATAGCACCTTATTACGTCTTTGAGACGTCTCAAAGCGCTTCACAGAATATAGTGTAAAATGAATTGACTATATATTTTGTGGTTTAAACGCGGCAGCGAATTACACACAGCAGTGTCCCACAAACAGTCCTGGATTGAGTGACCAATTTATTATTATTATTTTTAAAGGAATTATTACCCCCGGAAAACCAATCTGCCAATCGACTAACAACCAGGTTCCTACTAAAAGTAGGTAAACAGAGCTGTGGAGTAAGAAAACTTGCCCAACGTTTCACCCTGCTGGGAATCAAATCCAGGTCTCTCACTTGCGAGGTGAGTGCTCTAACCACTGATGATCCCCAGTGTTAGAATGAGCTATGAGTAAAGTTTAGGCAAACTAGGGCTCTTCAGTCTTGAGAGAAGGCAAATCAGAGGGGACGTTATAGAGATGTATAACATTTTAAAATGGGATTGNAAAAAGTAAACCCAGAATACTTTAGGATGCACCGACAATAGAAAAAGAGGACATTGGTTTAGAGTTGCAAACAGCAATTTCAGAACAGACACATGGAATTTTTTCTTTACTCGGAAAGTAATTAATGGCTGGAACAGATTGCCAGGAAGGAAGTGCCTTGCATTTATCTGTATTAAACTTAATTTGCTAGTAATCAGCCCGTGTGCATATCCTATTGAGCTTTCTTTGTAACTTCTTTAAAAAGCAGCTCGATGCAAAAAGGTTTCGAAGTTATTTGGCTCATTTTCTCTCGTTTGTGAAGTCTAGACACCCTGTGCTAAATTGAAGCTTTAACTGCAAAAAAAATTTGAACCCATGTCAGCATCAACTGGTTTTTCAAGAATTATTTACATTTATCATCTGCAAGCCGCCCAAAACCATTGCCAAACTGTACCCTACACCGTTCTTATAACGCTCTTATTATAGTGCAAATTTGCTTACAATTAGGGTGGTTTCCATTCACTGTGTAGGTTCCCAGCTTGGCACAGTACTACTTGGAAAGAGAAATGAGTTTCTCCCAATAGTATGGCCAACAATCCCCCAAAGGAAAAAAATTGGTCATTTGCTTTATCGCTCTATGTGGTACATTGTTGCGTATAAAGTGACTGCCGCCTTCCTGTGAGGTGCTTTGAAATTTCTTGAAGATGTGATAACAACATCAAATTACATTTGTATAGAGCCTTTCACGTCAGGGGGACGTTGTAAGGCACTGGACAGTCAGGGATCCGCACCCGAGCTGGTAGTTAGGATCAGGAGGGGTGAAGGGCAGGAAGGGTAGGGGTATGAGGGTGAATGAAGACACAGTCGAAGAGGTGGGTCTTGAGAAAGGCAAGGGAGGGACGAGGCAGAGGGACTGTGGGATGGAGCTCCAGAGGGTAGGGGCAGAGAGACTGTAGGTAGTCTGTGAAGTGCTTTGAAACTTCACAGGCTGCAAGGCGGGGGACATGAAGCAGGCCGGAGCCCACTGAGTGGACAGAGCAGACAGGTTGGTAGGGGTGCATGTGGTCACAGAGGTAGGGAAGAGCAAGGCCGTGGAGGGCTATCTCAAATGCAAGGATTATTATTATACAATCATTGCTCGTAGCTCATTCCTCTAACAAGGTAGTCACCCTGACTGCCCTCCACCCCTCCTGATCCCAACCCCCAGTTTGGGTGCAAATCCTGTCTGGCTGGCCAGGGCCTCCCGACGTGAAAGGCGCTATACAAATGTAATTTGTTGTTATTACTAATCATCAATCATGTGCATATCAAGCTCTCAAGCAGGTCAATCTCAATCTAAAACCATATTATACAGCATTGCTTATAAGTAGATTAGAATTGCAAAAAGCATACAAATAAAGGCTATTTGTGTGATTAACTCTATAGTATTGAAAAAAAAGTTCCTCTGTTGTTCCTCTGGTCTTGAGTTAGTTAAAGGAAGAAATTAGGTTAAGTTCATTTGCATTTACAATGTGATCAGAAAATCAAGCTGCTTGGAGGCTGTGAAATCCAGAAATAATTAACATAAAAATATACTTCGAAGGCATCTACCATTGGAGCTCCACTGAGGTAATTTCAAATCCTGAGTTTGATATCAGAGGAAAAACCATCTGCTCCAAATCCCATTAGCTCCATGAAATGCTGAAATTATGCTCAGAGTTAGTATACTATTCTCAAGAGGATTTCAAAAATGCCGTTTCACAGTACTCACTCCTGCAGGAGAAATCTCAAAAGCTGTAGCAGAATTTACTCAGTTGGGTTTGACGGTTGTGCAGAAATAGCCAAAGTACCATTTTGAGCTTGTAATAATTAAAGAATAGCAATAGAAGCAATAAAAGTACACTGTGCGTCAGACCATTTCAAGGTTTGAATATTGAGAATGAGAGAATTCACTGCCTTCCACTGGACCATCCAGGTCAGAAGCAACATGCTGGACCACAGGCACTGTGTCTCAATGTACAACACAGAACATACATTTTAAACATAGGCGGACATAGTTTGGCCCAACAGGTCTATGTCATTGGTACCTACTTATAGGTTGTCCTATCCTATTAATGCCACTTTCCAGCTATTTCCCTAAATCCCTTAATGTTATTTACTAGTGAGATGCTTAAATAGTTCCCACTTGAATAATTCTATTGTTTCAGTCTCAATAGCCACTTGTGGAAATTAATTCCACTCCAAGAACCCTCCAAGTGAAGGACTACTTTCTAACTCTGCTGATTCTCCCACCAACAATTCTGAGATTGTGCCCCTTGGCACCAATTCCCCAATAAAGGAAATAGTTTGGTCCTATTTATCTTGTCATGCCCTTTCAGAATTTTAAACACTTCTATCATATCTCCCCTGAAATCCAAAATCCCAGTGGAAAAAGTCCCAATATAGCCAGCCTTTCTTCATCATATAGGATCTCATATCCAGTATGTTCAGAGTGAGTTTGCACAGTAACCTGCTCACAATTGAACACAAGCAGCACCCATAGCCCTGAGTTTGCCAGTCCAGGAATGTAAAGACCAATTAGACTGCCAATCAGCTACTTACTTCAGACCAAGAAACTAACCTGCAACCCCTCCTGATGCACTATTGACCAGAACACCAAGAGAAGTTCCATTTTCTTGTCCAATAGTACCTTGGGACCATTAATGTCCACTAGAAGCACAGGTAGATTGGACATGAGTTTAATATCTTACCTGAGAATGGCACCTCAGATTCAACGCTTCTCTTCTCACCCTCCCCTCCCAGTAATGTACAAGGTACGTCAGCCTGGACTGACAGTACAAAGGTCTAACATGATGGTTGAACCCACAACATGAAAAAGTACCCAGTGGTGCAGTGTCCATCTGCAAACTATCAATACCAATACTGGCGGAAAGAATGGAAGAATATTTCCTTCCCTTGTAGTACTTAAGGTGACAGATTTGTGTTTCACACATCAGAAAAAAGTAGACAGCTCAAAGGAGACAATGCAATAACATCTTATAGCTGTCGCAAACAGCCTGTTAATTAGAAACAATATTTCATCACACCGAACAATAATATGGGCGACCACTGTAATAGATGATTGTAGGTGCTTTTGAAATCCTCAAGCAACAGAATATATCATGCTGAAAGCTCCTTAAAAATTGACACTGATCTCCGACATTTGTCTCCAAGGAGTGGCACCTTCTAGCTCACAGAAAAGCAGCATTTCATTACATATTTATGCTATTTCCTTCCAATACCTGGAAATACTGAATTCCCTAAACCCTGGATTAAACATTGACTGCACGCAGTCATTTTGTCTAATCTGTATACTTGAGACACACTTGGAATATATGTCCTTACTTCAAAGAAACCTGGGCTGTTAACATTCTGAAATCACATTAAACAATTCGATGATCCTTTGCGGTTAGTTTCTTTTGTTGTCATTCTATCTTTTATTTATTAATTTACACTCTGAGCTGCATTTATCTTTAGTAATTTATGAAATTAAAATTGGTAAGCTTTGCAACCTGAGAAATTATTGATATTTTCACCTCCAACAGGAAGATTGCAAAACTAATTCTGGTTTTCCATTGTCCGATCCTGGCAGCTCGAGCTGCATCAGACAATACACAAAATTATGACATTACCATGAAATGGCACCACAGCAACTGAATAACTCGTTAAAAAACTGTGTTGCAAATTTGTATCACTTAAACTCCACACACTGCAATCAGTCACTGCTGTTAATGCAACCTTACTGGTCAGCAATTTAGTGAGTAAACACCCCATGTTTTTGATTTAGATTCTAAGCCACATAAATTCACCACCACCAGCACTTTTTTCTTTAAAGCAACATCAATAACTTGCTGAGATTTAAAATGGATATACCTGAGTCCTGGGAGTTTAACACTTCCAAGGCATGCATCATGGCACTTGCAAAGACGTTGGCATCTTCCTTGCTGCCAAAGTTTAGGCCATACACTTGCCTGGCATCTCGCCACTGGTGGAAGGTCTGTGTAGCCTGGTTGTATTTCAGTCCCTTAGGAATAGCACAGTTTATCACCACCTGGCAAGGAAATAGTGACACAAGGTTAAAAGGTCAGACACTGAGAAGCAAACCACGTTGTGTGACAAGTTATTCACATGTTTACATGACTATAATAGATTTACTTTCTCAATCCTTTGTGTTGCTATAAAGGCTTAGCTCAGCCTGTAGCACTCTTGTCTCTGTAATAGTAATAATAATTATAATTTGCTATATGTAGATGGAGATGGATTCTCCAGCAATGTTTCAGACTGTTGTTGAATGTGGATAGTAATGAAGAAACAAGATTCCATTGTAAGATGTTGTGATTGTGTATTTTGTGTCCAAACATCAGTTAATCTGTACAAGGCAATGACACAATCACACAAATAGCCAAGAAGTGGATAACTAATTTTATCTGTGGATAAATCGTATAAATGCCTAAGTCGCACATTCACCCCATTCAATTTCCTATCAAAACCACTCAGATTTCTTTGCGCTAGTCGTATTAATCATCTGCTAAAGTCGATCCCCTATCCCCCATTACTCCTGCACTTACCAGTTGCATTGAATCGTGGGAAATGTTTTCTTGATCTGTTGATGTATGTGCAGAACTTTATTTCCCACAATTCAATGAGATTCCAATGTTTGCCGGTACGTGTGCATGTGGCGCACTTACCAGGTGCATTGAATTCCGCGTGCTTAGTGTAGATTGATTAAATTGGATTTTATATGACTTGTACAGTTTGCCCGCAATTCGGATTTCACACAAGTCACATTAAATGTTATGGACCTGACTGATACGACTTATGTGAGTTTTACTATAGTGTCGTGGGATCTTTTAATGCCCAGGCCGACAAGACCTCAGTTTAATGTACATCCAAATTATGGCACCTCCAATAACGTAATGCTCCAGTTGCACTGCATTGCAGAGCCAGACTAAACTGGGTTTAAAATCCAGATTCGGGGCTCGAACCCATAATCTTCCGATTCAAAGTGCTACCAACTGAGCCAGATTGACAAGCAGATAATCACCTACAAATTACAGTCATTATTACATTTACTGCAAATCCTGCTTTGAAATGTCCTCCTGACATGAAAGACACTTATATCAAATGCAAAGATTATAATTTTAAAATGATCATAAAATAAATTAACGAGATTAGAAAAAAAAATTCCTTTACAATGAGAGTATCGGGAATGCGAAATTCTCAGGCCACAAACCGCCTAGGCAGAGTCCTTCAATTCTTTTAAAAGGGACTAAGATAGATGCTTGAAGAGGAAAAAGGTTAAAGAATCTGGATAGCAAGTCCAAAAGTGGAATTAGATAGCTCATGTGAAAAAAATAACAAGTCAGACTTCATAGGCAAATGGTTTGATTCTATGCCACAACTTTCTAGGATTCCATTCATGATTATAATTAACTTACATTGGAAGACAAAAACGGTTCAGGAGCGATGTGTGCAATAATCCTTGCATATATCTCAAAGTGCTTCACAGAATATATTGTAAAGTGGATTGTCTGTATTTTGTGTGCAAAACGTGGCAGCCAATGTCCCAGAAACAGTTGTGGATTGAGTTACCAAAATTTTTTTGGAGGGATTATGTTTGAATTTTTCCAGCTCTTACACCTAGCATGTCTCTGCTTACACGCAGGATAAGGGAAAGGTTACATTGCAGGAGCTGAGTAATTACATATGCTCTTTAATGTTGTAGCACAGATTTGGGAAAGACTGAATGTGGATGTCAAAGTTTCATAGCACTATTTCAAAGAGCAGATTTCCTCCTCGAGTCCAGGGTCCCTACATGCTCCTCCAAATAAATAACATCAGAAACCAATTTATTAGTCGTTAATCTCATTGCTGTGTGACAGAATTTGATGGCACATATCAGCTGCTTACATATTTACTACATTTCAAAATAACATTGAAGTGCTTTGAACCATTTTGACATAAGGCACTAGATCAAATGCAAGCATTTTAAGTTCAATCAAACGTGCTTCGAAGAATGTTAGTATGCAAAGATTTTGGTGTAAGTGTGAAATGCACACAGCAGAGTTACTTACATAGTTACTAATAATACGTACATAACACCTATAAGGTTAGGAGGATGTCTCAAAGCGCTTCACATCATTTACTGTAAAGTGTAGCCACTGTACTTCATAGGTGAATATAGCAACCCAGGATCTTGGTCATCGATCCTCCAAGCTAATTGGTTACAACTTTAAACCACAAGCTTCTATTCCTGAGGTGAAGGCATTACCATCTGAGCCAAACTGACTTGTACAGATGACATGCCACGAGAAATTACAACTTCCATTTGTATAGCGCTCTTCAAGCAGGATAGCATCTTGGATTGGGATTGGACACTGAGCAAGGAAGCAGGGGGAGGTGATCATAGTTACAAACAAAGAGGTTGGTCTTAAGGTGGAATTTAAAGAGATATGGATGAGGTAGTAAGAGGGAGGGTTTTAGAAGCCAGAGGTGAAATGGCTGAAGACACAACCACCAATGGTAGTGTAGAGAGGGATGGGGTCGGGGAAATCGCACCAGGTCTGTTAGCTAGGCCAAAGGGCGGGCAGAAGAGCAGGTATGAGCAGGTCAAAGAGGTAAGTGAGTAAGATACACAGCATTGCTAATAACAAGTTAATAGCAGTAATGAGATGCAGATCACACTGCAGTATCGGGGGACTCTGCCTGGCTGACAAGCTGCAGCTTCAGCTTTTCTTCCTCTGCATATTTCTATGCTGCAAGCACCAGATTTTAACATTTCTCAGGGGAAGCAGGGAGCTGAAAACTTTCCTAATTCATACTCCAGACACATAATCATCACAAGAGATTGATCTCCACCTTCCAAAAAGTATCCATTTCAATAATTCTCAAAGCATCGGATTCAAATAACCATCAGTACACCACTTCTTCACAATGATGTAAAACCAACAACTAGAATAATTTCCCACCACTTCGCCCTAAAATACACCTCTCTCACACACGCACTCCCCAACACGCACCTCTCCCACACACATAACTCTCACACATGCACCTGGAGTCCTGCAGCTCAGTGGTTAGTGCACTCGCCTCACAAGTGAGAGACCTGGGTTCGATTCCCAGCAGGCGAAACCTTGGGCAAGTTTCCTTACTCCACCCACCTGATGATAATCCCTCAAGAAAATAACAATAATAATTTGGTCACTCGATCCAGGAATGTTTGTGGGACACTGCTGTGTGCAATTGGCTGCTGCGTTTCGCCCACAAATATACAGTCAATTCATTTTACAGTATATTCTGTGAAGCGTTTTGAGACGTCTTGACAACGTGAAAAGCGCTATATCAAATGCAAGGATTATTATTATTATTATTATCCAACACCTTCACACACGCACAGACCCACACTCCCAACATAGCCTCTCTGCCATATTGCCTGACATAAACCTCTCTCCCAAGTATGCACCCTCCTCCCAACATATCTCTTTCTCCCAAACACAATCCTCCAACTCAAAACCACATCCCTCAAACACACACCTCCCACACACACGTTTCTCAAGTATGCATCACCCAAACGCACCTCCCTCCTAAGCATGCACCTTCAACTCCCCTCCCTCTCAAGCACTTACCCTCAACCACACCCCCTCCCTCCCAAGCTCTCAACCCACACCACTCCTATGTGTACATGCCTCTCATACAGCTCTCTGTCCAATCACCTGTACAGACACCTCACAAAAGTGCACCCTCTACACACACCTCCCTCCCAAAAGCACATCCTCTACACACACCCCTCTGTCCCATGCACATCCCACACATCCCCCCACATTCGCACCCCTCCCATGTCTGCGTGCAAACTTACAGCCAGCCTCTCACCCACTCGTACACCTTTAGAGTTCACACATACTTCGCCCTTCATGTGTATATAGAATTCCTAAAAATCAGCATCATGCCATCCGCACAAACTCATAGACACCAGAGGGACTGATTTGCTATCATATGAAGCATGTTTAAATGTCAAATATAAGAACAAACCATGACATTTTCTGCAATTCCATTTACTTATTTTAGGAACTCTCTCAAATGCCCTTTGCCCTGCACCTTCTCTTCCTGCTTTCAAGAAGACAAGCTAAATCCTTAAATTCTGTGTCATCCTGAGTCAGTTGGGGTAGCCCTCTCATCTTTGAATCTGATGTGGGTTCAATAGGAATAATCCTTGAGTTTGATATAGCGCCTTATCACATCTTCGAGATGTCTCAAAGCGCTTCACAGACTGTAAAGTGAGTTAACTTGGTCATTCACTTTGTGGCTGTTTTGCAACATTGCTGTGCGCAAATTAAATGCTAATTTACCTACAAAAACAGTCAGTTTATAATATATCTTGGAAGTGATTTGAGACATCCTCCTGATGTGAAAAGTATCATACTGGGCAAAAGGGTCATTATTAAATTCTTCCTCCTCTGCTCCCCGTTTGGTTTCCCCCCTGCCATTTCTGTGGTATTTGTGATATTCGTTCTGTATAAAAGGAGCTGTGTAACTGCAAATTCTTCTTGTTATACATTGACATCCAATATATATGGTTTTTAATATCACAGAGAATCTCTTCCCTGTCGCATCTAAAGCCCATTTTTTTTATTCAGCATTTTTTTTGATGGTGCCACCCTCAGCAGATTATGATGACAAGAACACATTTTTCCTGGCAACAAAGCCACATGGACCCTTTTGGCATCAGAACCCCTATTCCCTCCACAGGGTGGTGCCATCATCTCATGAGTGAAAAGGCGTCATTACAAAACATGCTGCCACACAAAGCACGCAACTTAACACATTGAGAAAGTGGCACACTCAGGTATATGCTTTATGTATACACGACCCTTTCAGACGAGTTTTTTCCCTCAATATCCCCAATTAGTTGACATTCAGGGACATCTACCAGCTTCCGCTAACGTTATTTTGGAAATAATCAAAAGGATTAAAAAAAATGAAAAACATTTTCCCCATGTTCAAACTGCATGATGTCATTATGTCACACCACCATGATGTTCTGTGTAAGTGCGAAAA